GAGAGAGAGAGAGAGAGAGAGAGAGAGAGAGAGAGAGAGAGAGAAAGGGAGACTGAAAGAGATAGAACAGAGAGGAAGTAAAGATAGAAACAGAAAGAGAGAGAGAGAGAGAGAGAGAGAGAGGGGAACAGTCGGAGAAAGAGAGAGAGAGAGAGAGAGAGAGAGAGAGAGGGACAGTCGGAGAAAGAGAGAGAGAGAGGGGGGGCAGTCGGAGAAAGAGAGAGAGAGAGAGAGAGAGGAAGAGAGAGAGAGGGAGGGAGAGAGAAAGAGAGGGACAGTCGGAGAAAGAGAGAGGGAACGAGGGAGGGCGAGGGTTAGGGAGGGAGAGAGAGAGCGAGTGCGAGAGAGAGAGAGAGTAACTAGGGGCAAAACGTATGGGGTGCGGATGGAAGAGTAGGCAAGGGAGGGTGTTTGCCACTAGAGAACAGGTATCTGCCGTAGGCGTCGTACGTTCATTGATAAGCGTATAACGCCCGTGCCTTAGACGCGTGACGTCACGGGATCACAGCAACGCCTGCGCTTCGGACAGGAGCGTGCTTCGTTACACCTTGCGCCAAGACCCACACGACCCTCGCCTCGGAATTTTCTCGCTTCGTTTTCCCCACGAATATTCTCGGTCAAGCGAATCCGTTCCGATCCAGAACCCGAGACGGACCCGTGACGGCTGAGAGCAAAAAAAGAAAAAAAAGATTTCGACGAAAAATGGCGATACTGGGTGTACTTCGCGAGGCAGAGAACGGCTGATATTGAACGCGATGGGATCCTAGGTGCATAGACCGCGACGCATACTAACGCCTACGGACGGTCGGGGTACGCTGTACGCGGTATCGACGTGACTCGTGTCAAAGTAGTCGCAACGCTTGTTGCCAGTTACAATGAAATTGTAATGTAGTTTCGAAATGACCACGGCGGATCGCGCGGGGGCAAGAAAGTGGGGGGCGGGGGGGAGCGATAAAAAAAGGAACTGGACGAATCAAGCATTTCTCGTACGCTATTTCGCAAGGCTGCCGGTACTACGCATGCTCTAATCGCGGCTCTTGCTCGTTCGTACTCTACATACATATTTTGGACGGTGATCGTTACATCGCGGGGGTTAGACTTTCGGCGAGCGAATGAAGAAATAAAGAGAGAACGAAGGGACCGTAAAGTGGTGATCGAGGAAAAAAAAGGCTGAAGGTACATCGTATACATCTCTATTTGATATACATATATATATATATATGGGCACTTTGAGTTGTAGGCGGTAGGCGGGATGAGGTAAGAGACAAGGGGTTGGCGAGCCGAGTGTAAGACAGGTACCAAGGAAAAGAACGGACGAGAGAATGAGAGAGAGAGAGAGAGAGAGAAAGAGCGAGAAAGAGCGAGGAAGGGAGATAGAGAGAGAGAGAGAAAGAGGGGAAGGAGAAAGAAAGGGAGAGAACGCGAAAATAGAAGAAAGGAAGGAGAAGGCAGGCGAACGAAAAAGAGGGACAGTCGTAGCGAGTTTCGATACGGTTGTACGGCGGGGAGGGGTTCTGAGGTGTCAGAGCCAGAGAAAGGAAGATGGTTGGAAGGTGAAAGGAGAGGGAAAGATCGGTGGATCGTCTCGCGTGTATTGATTGGTCTTTTGTGAAAGCTACATCCCTGTGTAGCTGCGAGGCGAACCATCGCGAGTCGCTTGTCGTTGGATTTGGAGGGTGTACCGTGCAGGGTGTTCTCCAGCCAGTTGTACGTTGTGTATCGTACACCATACGCCATGTTTCGTACGAATCGATCGTAATTTTCGTTTTCTCGATTCTGTTCGGTGACGTTGACAAAAAACAGATAGGAATTGCTCGGACTTGCTCGAAGAAAGGTCGAGGGTGAAACGAACGAGGAGAAAAAGAGAATATCTAAGGTTAGAACGCGAGGACAGCGTAGAAATGACGTAAGCAATGTCGAGCGATCCCTAGCGGTAAAAGGGCTCTGTATCGGCATCGATCGCGGAGTGACCCATATCTGGCGGTGACGGGAGTTCCTACCCCTGCTATCGCGTCTCGGTTTACACCGAGGACTATTCTCTGTCTCCCCACTCTCCTTCTCCCTCTCTCTCTCTCTTTCTCTGTCTCTCTTTCTCTTTGACAACCCCCGTCTGCACATCTGCCCGGCTTTCGCCCCTTCGAACCTCTTCGGCCCCCTTCGGCCCTCTTCGGACCCCTCGAGCCCCACCAACTACCCTCTCGCACCGTTCCCTCCCGCCACCGCGCCCCTGGCCGATCGCCTCGTCGCCTCCCCCCCGGCGCCCCGCCGACCCGTCGTCCCAGCGTCACCGTCACCGTCACCGTCACCGGTAGTTTCCCTCTTTCTCTCGTTTTCCCCGGTCAGGATCCCCTTCCAGGTTCCACACCCCCGCCGGTGTTCAGATCGGTGTCTACCCCCACCGGCGTGCCACTGGTTTCCCCTTTCTCCGGCGAACGAGGGAATATTCCTCCTCCTCCCCCGTTCCCAGCAGCCCTGCCGCCTGCCTTCCACGGTCGAGCAGATCTTGGGGTTTGTACGGGATGATAGCCGAGTGAGAAAGCTCGCGAGTCCCGTGAACGTTTGCTCGTCAGCAGCAGCAGCAGCAGCAGCAGCAGTCCTGGCCTGCCACAATCGCTTCGATTCGGTCATCGTAAGTGTCCGCGCGTTCCGTCAGAAACGATATCGAGCCACCGATCACGAGCGATCGCATCAACGAAACTCCCGAACCGAGTATCGTACTAGACCGAATGCTAAAGAGGACGAGCCGGAAGGAAAGAGGTTTGTTGGTCCAGAGTCGGAAACAAAAAAAAAAGACCAAAAAGGATGGAGGGGCGGTAGAGAATAAGAGAGAACGTACTTCGTACGGCCACGTACGCTTTTCCGCGTTTTCGCCGAACGGAGGCCGAGCGAATCGTTACGACCGAATCGTACACTCGTCCGAAGTGCCTTGTCGGAGTGCGTGGAGAAAAAAAAGTGTCGGATCGACCCGCAATTCGCTCTGCTCGGGATTCGTCGGATCTCGTGTATCGAGAACGAAATCGGTACTCGCGTTCCCCGAAAACTAGCCGAAAATAGTGTGCATCCACGTTCTAACCGTCGTTGTGATTATTCGCGAGTGACATCGGTAGTATCGATGTCGAGACGGACGGAATTTAACGAACGGAACATGACACACGACCGATTTAACACGGCGTCGAAATTTAACGACGAATACAACGACGAGAAATATATATATATATACTGAGACGGTGACAACGGCAAGCAAAACGGCTGCTCTCTTTCTCGCTGAAAAAAAAAAGAAATCCAATTCGGATACACGTATACACGGATTAACGGTGTGCATACATCGAGACGCTCGAGAGGCGAAACGCGTAATGCGTAACGAAAACCGACTCGCCAAAATGGGACGTCGTCGCATTTACGAGAACAGAATGGAAGCATGACGATCGTGACGATGACAGAGAGGCAGCCAGCATTGATTGTTATCGGCACGGTCGTAACCGGAACGGAGCGAGACAAGAGGTGCCGGTGCTGGTGCCGTCGTCACTGGTACACGCGACAGCGTCGAACACTGCGACTACGATCACGACACCACGACCACGACCACGGTATACCGTGTATGACAGGATAGACTAATGATAGACGAGAGACGTTAGACGAGGGACGATTGACGAGATGACGATTGATGAAAGACGAGGGACGAGAGATGGGAGACGGGAGACGAGAGATGAGAGACCGGATACGACAGAGGATAGACGATGAACGATGAACAATGAATGTTGATCGATGAACAATGAATGTTGATCGATGAACGATGAAGGATGTTCGATGAACGATGAATGGTGAACGATGAACGGTGAAGGATAAAAGATGTTTGATGGTCGATGAACGATGAAGGATAAAGGATGTTTGATGGTCGGTGAACGATGAACGATGAATGATGAAGGATGAACGATGAACAAGAGACGGTGGGGATGGTGGACAGTGTACGGTGGACGATGGATGGTGGATGGTGTACGACGGACGGTGGACGATGGGACGGTGGACGATGAACGGTGGACGATGGACGGTGGACGATGGACAGTGGACGATGAACGGTGGACGATGGACGGTTGGAAGGTGGACGGTGGACGGTGAACGATAGATGGTAGATGGCAGATATACGTAGTGGATACACTACGTATCCTTGTGCGGTGATGTTCCGTGCGCGTATCGTGCGCACCGGTCTACATATACACTACGTAGCATTGGTAGTGAGATCAATAAGCAGTGCCGTGCCTCCACTCGACCCGTACCCGCGACCACCGACGGAAACTCATTCTGAAAATCTCCTTCCTTTTTCGACCACCGAACACGTTCCACGGCTCGCGTTACAGAGTTGCCACCCTCCCTCAACCCCTTCGTTCCGCTCTTTCTTTCTCTCCGTCAGCTCACCTCCTCGCCCTGGCCCCCCTCTCATCGCTCCACTCGACTTATCCGTTCTTTTATCGTGTCCTTCTGCCGGAGAAAATGTCCAGCAGCACCGGAAGCTGTTACTTTCGTTCGTTCCTAAATTTTTCATTCGAGCCCCGTGCATCTCGGGGACGAATGACAGGCGTGTAAAGAGCACACTCGAACTCGCGCAACGGTGCACGTATTTTCGTTCGGCGTTCAAGCTTCTCTTTGATCGCGCAATCTTGCCGGTTCCGATGCGGCTTGCGCTCGACGGAAATCTCGCTGGCGATGCGTTGACTTAGTCTCGTTTTTTCCTCCTAAATTTCTCTGCCGGATTTCGAATTTTGATGTTCAATTACGTGACCGTCGCGATCGCTAACCATCGTAATCGTGATCATCGTAATCATCGATTCAGAGATTTCCGCCGGCACTGACACATTGGCACCGTGCGAACGCGTGCAGTCGTTCTTTCTCGTGAACGGGGTACTCTGTTGACGAATCAATTTTAAGGGATGTAGAGTCGCGGGTCGGACGCCCTTCGCGAGGACCAACAGATCTCTGGATCGCCGGATCGTCGGCACGTTAGACCTCTAACCGATGAAATTCGGTCTGCCGGACGTGGGAGGAGGGCGGGAGGAGAAGAGAAATATATGTGGAATATGCTCTATTTTTTCTTTCTTTGCTCGAAGCGTAGAATTACTGCGGGGCGGTTTTTCTGCCGACGTACTCTGTATGAATTTTGATTCGGCGGGTGGACGGGCAGACGGGGTGGCCGAGCAGGTTGCTGAACGAACAGGCGGACAGGGGGTCGTGTGAAAGAGCGAAAGAGCGGAAGAGCGGACGAACGCGGGCGAAAGGGTGGCACAGGGATAATCGAACGTGCTCGAGATCCAGTTAAAGCCGAACATATCGCCGGGATTAAACGGTATCGCGACAAAAATAGCGATAATCGAGGGTCATGGTTCCGTCTTATGTTCACGACATCTATTCCGCCGAATTGCAACCCTTTCATTCTGCCTCCCCCCTCCTCGGACGTTTCAACGAAACTAAGTCCGCACGTTTCTTCTTAACGGTGTCGAACGGAAATCCTTGGTTTCGACTATTTTAAATCGGTATTCGAAATTCAACCGAACTCCGTTCCATTCGACCGGTGTCGAACTAACGAAACGAAACGAAACGAAAATCTAATACCGACTATTACTCTTCGTAGCATGCGAATTACAGAAATCCCGAGCAATTCACCATTCTCTGTCGTATCCAAGAACCTGTTGCCCTGACGGCGGTGATACCATTTCGACGCCACCGTTCCGTTTGTTAACGACTGACAAACGGTTCCCATAATCGATTCCGAAATTTGCGTTACACGATTTCAATCAGAGTCGGCACTGTGCTCGAATAGATTCCATTCGGTCGAAAAGATACGTAACATAAATCGATCGCGCGCACGGACGCAACGAGTGTTCGTGAAATATTTTTGCATGCTCGATGGACGGTGACGACGGGGAAGACGGGGAAGACGGGGAAGACGGGGAAGACAGGAAAGACGGGAAAGACGGGATTGACGAGAAAGACCGGCAAGACGGGGAGAGGACGAACAGATGATGCGGGGGCCTCGTAGACGCATAGACGCGTAGACACGTAGGCGGCTGTTTTCGGTAGACGCGACGTATCCGGCCGCTGTGGGTTTAGGATACCGTTAGGGTATCGCGGTTGTACGATGAGAGAAAAAAAAGAGTTCCTTTTCGCACTTAGAGAATCGCACGCCTAAACGTGGGATCGCCGTGTGCAGCCTGGCAGGCCGCCGCAAAAGCCGCCAATTAATTAAGATAGCTCCTAGATACACGGTAGATCGATAGGGACTGGCCGTGATAAAGACGGGCGAGGGTTTCAGACTTCAGGGATGTTGCAGTGCTGTGGTGTTGGAGGTGGCGCTTCCACGGCACCTCAGGCTCCGCAGCTGCAGGATACCGGATCTGCTGTCGGGATTACCACCTCCACGAAAACCACCATCATGCAGGACGCGGTTCTCGAATCTATCCTCGAGGTGAGTTCTGCTGTGTTCCATCGGGGCAAGGACCGTTCCGTTCGTTCTCTAAACGAGCAAGCACGACCGTCGTCGTACGACAGACGAAACGACGAGAGATCGCCTTGGATCGGTGCCTGGCATCGACGCGTCCCCGTATCTGGAACAACACGAAATTGTAGTAGCATCCGCGAACAGTTCGTTGAACCGGTGGTCAGCTATTACGTACAAAGTACATGTGCACGTAATATAAACGTACGTTGCAACGATCTTACCGGCGTCATCCCTCTCGGTTTCCAACGGATCGCGGAAATCGTGTAACGCGAAACGCGAAACGCTATCTCTCGTCCGTGCGGCGCGGTCGTTTCCTCGGCCTCCGAGTGTTCTCCGAGGCCGAATTTCACGACGTGTACTCGATTTCCAAAGCACGATCGATCGTGTTTTTTTTCTTCAGCAAATGCGTGAGACCGAAGCTCGAAAAGCGGATTTGGAGCGGCAACGCGTGGATGCGCAGAATCAATTACGCGAAAAGATAGCGGGCCGCTATCAGGGCCCGGAATCGGTCGAAGCGCTCCAATCGAAGATACGAGAGCTCGAGAAGAAGAAAGAGTTACAGATCGTCAGGCACGAAGAATTGTCGTTGGAGCTGACGAGCCTAAGACGCGCCCGAAGCAGAGGTCCGGTGGTAGGTCACTCGGTGATGCCGACTTCTTGGCCACCGGCTGGTTCTGAAATCGACAGAATAATAGCAAATAGAGAACACGATACTAGGTGTGTTCCCTGACATGGTACTCTATTAATCTTTCGCTCGAGAAGCGCGTTACAATGCCTTGCTGTCGCCTGAAAATTGAAAAATTGCGAAATTTTAAATTGAGAAATTGAATAATTGAAAAATTTTAAATTGAATAATTGAAAAATTGAAAAATTGAAGAATTAAAAAATCGTAAAATTGATAAATTGATAAATTGAAAAATAGATAAACTGTAAGATTGAAAAGTCGAGAAATAGAAAAATTGTAAAATTGCGAAACCGTAAAATCGTAAGAGTATAAAAGTGTAGCAGTACAAACGATCGATGTTTCACAGCGGTCCTTTTCCGCTCGTTTCACGATGCGCCCGCTGCCGCAGCTACCCTATCGCGGTCTCGTATCTGTTCGAATCGACCGGAATTAATTCTATCGAATTTTCGCGAATGTAGCAGAATGTTGCACGAGTTGGAACATAGCCGAGGAACCATTACCACGCAGCAGCCAACGACCACGCAGGGCATATTGAGGTCCAGCTCGGAGAATCTTCCGAATCTCGGCCAGCATCAACAACACCCGCCGCATCCGCACGCCCTGAGCTTAGGAATGCCGACGCAAATGGCTCATGTAGGTGACGAAATCGCGGCTGATCCGTTACGGAATCGCGGATCGACCCGATTTAAGCTTCTACCTTGTATTGAAATCTCTACTGTTCCGTGTCTTTCATCGTTCCGCTTTGAAACAGTACGCTGGTTCGCCGATGCCATTGACGCCGATGATGCCGGGTTGTCCGCCGTTGACGCCGAACGGTCCGCCGTATCACTACAGCGAGCCGATCCCGCCGGCGCCCTCGCTCTCCACCAGCCAATCGCAGCCCGTTTTCCAACAAAAGATGCAATCGTATCAGCAACAGCAACCGACCCACGCCGATCTGCCGAGCTCCCATTCGCAAAGTGCTTTGCCGTCGCAGCAGAAGCAGCAACAAGCGCACACACACTTTACGAGCAATCAGTATCAAGAGAGTTACCCGCATACGCAAACCTACCACCAGCAGCCGCTTCAACAGCAACAACAGCAGCAACCACCCCAACACCCAGCCTCTACAACGTACCTGACGTCGTCGAGCCAAAGCGTGATGCCTCATTACACGCAACCTACCCAGACCGCTCAAACCTATCAACTGAACGGAAGCCAGCAGGTGCGCAATTACTTGCCGTTTTCTCCCCGATTTTCCCTCCCTCCCCCCGGTCACCTATTATATTCCCTATTATAGTTTTTATCCGGTCAATTGTATGTACAGGCAACAACGTATCCAAGCTTATCGATAACGTCTCATCCGAACGGGACGTACAGCACCGGGGCGAGTACGTACAGCGGGCCGATTCCGCATCACAACTACACGATACCGCAGACGAGCATGCCGCAGACCACGTTGTCGTCCCTGCCACCCTACTCGACAAGCTCCTATCACACGACCCTCGGCCCGCTCACTAGCGTACCTCAAACCGTTCTTCCGTTTTCGAGCGTGCAGAGCAGCTTTGCCAATAGCGGGTCGACTTACTCCACTGTCGGGACACTCGGGACCAACGTTTTCAGCGCGTCTGGCGTCGGTACAGGTAACTTGGGAGAACGCGTACGCTCCTGGCGAAAAGTATTCGACCACCCTTTCAAACGCTGTGCAACTTTTTTCGAGTTGGACTGAGTGACTTCGACTCTTCTCAAACGGCAAAGGGACTTGTTTACCGTGCAAATTTCTTTTTTTTATTTTGATATTGTTTGGAGTGAGAAAACAAGGTAAAAACGCTTGTTTTTTTATTTATTTTTGTCTGAACCTGGGACGAAGATTAAAAAAGGAAGTTATACAGGTACTGAAAATTTCATCGAAATCGGTTGACGCAGTCAAGCCACTGCAGCTAAAAGATGTAAAAATGATCTCTTTTTTTTATTAAAATCCATAAAATACTGCGTTGTAGCTGACAACAACGTCCATTGATTTTGATGAAATTTTCAGTATGCATATAAGTTACGAAACGCATTTATATAAATTTTCGTCACAGGTTTCCAGATAAAAACGTTAAAAAACCTGAGATTTTATTATTGTTTGTCATTCCGAACAATAGCAAAATTTAAAAAAAGTACTATGGTCTAATAGACCGGTCCCTCTATCGACTAAAAAGAAAATACAAGTCGTTTGTGTCCAGTTTCAAAAAACTTATCGCGTATTAAAGGGTGGTCGAAGGGTCGTCGAAAGGGTGGTGCATATCCGAGAGACACGAGTACAATGACCGTCCGTTTCAGGCACCAGTTCGACAGGCTTGTTGCAAACGATAAGCGACCCGTTGCAAGCGATGCAGCAACTCTCTGCCCAGTCCCAGGCGAACCAGCTTCAACAGCAGGCCATCATTCAACAAATCCAGCAAAGTTTACGCGCCAGCTCGCCGACGACCGGAACCACGAGTCACCATTACCTTGTGTCGAGGCAGATGCCGAAGATACCGAGCAGCATACTCGCGAACCCCCTGGATCGACTGACCAACGACAATATCGTTTCCGAGGGCCAAGTGGACATGCTGGACATACCCGGCAAGGGCAAATGTTACGTCTACATAGCTCGTTTCACATACGAGCCGTTCCAACATTCGCCGAACGAGAACCCGGAGGCGGAGCTGCCCGTCCAAGGCGGCGATTACCTTCTGGTTTGGGGGCAGCCGGACGAGGACGGTTTCCTGGACGCGGAGTCTCTCGACGGTAGACGCGGCCTGGTCCCCGCTAATTTCGTACAAAAATTAGTCGGCGACGATCTGTTGGAGTTCCATCAGGCCGTGTTGGGCCTCAGGGACGTCGACGATTCTGTTTCCACCAATATTCCCCAAGTGAGCAATGTGAGCAATCTTTTGCGTCCGTACACAATCTGTCCGCTTTTACGCGCGGCCGAGAAACACGTGTGTATCATCTGTGTGTATCGTCTGTGCCGGCGCGAATACGAGATCGCGGTACGTCGCGTGGTCGTCGCTGGTCGTCGTTTTCTGACTCCGCGTTTCGTTGTTCCAGTGCTTTCTGCAGGACATCGATTTGGAGTTGGCGGCACTCGAGGAAGGGAACCGGAATCGGCAGGCCGAACTGTCCGCGTACGCCGAGCTGGACAACATCGCCGAGGAGGACGAGCAGGAGCCACCAGGTTGGTACGCTTTCATTCCGCGCTCGATGAGCTTAGGGGCGCCAAACGCCAACCGCCGAGCGCCGATACGCCGATCTCGTTCATCGGCGAGCATGGTCACACGCATCTAAACGCTAAAGAATTTTAGCGCGTCGCGCGCATATTCGTAAGTTTATCCGATTCTATTCCATGGTCGAAAGTCGAATAGTTGAAAGCAAGTACCATTATACATGCTACGACCGATGAACTCTCAGCATGCTCGCGCAACTGAAACATAACGCATCGTGCGGCGAGTATTGGAGTCGTTTTGGCCGGCTTAGCGAATTAGATGGCGAAACACTCTTAGCTACAGCTAGGCTTGTATTGTCTTTTTTTCCTGAAGAAGTCTACCTGTTTTCGGACCTAGTTCCGGCGCCGCAGCATCTCACTCTCGAGCGGCAACTGAACAAGAGCGTCCTGATCGGCTGGACACCGCCGGATAACACACATCAGCTAGAATCGTATCACGTCTACGTGGACGGGGTGTTGAAGGTTACCGTGAAAGCTACCGAAAGGACCAGAGCGCTGGTCGAGGGAGTCGACTCCACCAGGGTACGTAAACGATTTTCGTTCCGCGGTGCTGCCACCTTTTGTTTACCCGCCGAATCGAAATCCGATACGTCGGATCGTGTTCCCGCTTTGTTTATCGTATCACCGTAGTACAGCGGCCAACGAAAGTGTTCGTACACCTTCTAAAAGGTAATAACTTTTTTAAAGCACGACTGAATGATTTGAATTCTTTTTTAGATGATGGAGAGACTAGTATGCTAGATGATTGAAGTGTCTTCTTTTTTTCTTAATTTTGCTATTACTTGGGATGACGTAAAAGAAGTAAGAAACTCTCGCTTTCTAACCTTGTCATCCGAGCCTATAACGGACATTTAAAAATCGGTTGACACAGAATCGATCTGCAGGCATCGAAAGATTTGAAACACTGCAGATTTCATTCAGTTTTTGGTCAAAATCGTGATAAAACTGCGACTTTTGTTATCTTTATTTGTTGTAACTCGTAAGAACGTCAATTGATTTCGATAAAACTTTCAGAATGTATGCATAATATGAGATCTACGAGAGGCATTATTTATATTTCCATTATAGGCTCGGATAAAGAGGTTAGAAACGAGAGTTTTTTATTTCTCTTTGCCATTCCAAGTATGGAAATTTTAATAGCAAAATTTAACACTGAACCTATCGCGGTCAAAGTGACCGCTTTCTTATTTTGCAATTCTGCAAAGTTCCGAGACTCTTCCGTGGAAAATGCTTGAATAAGTTACATTATTGGAGCAAGTTTTGTAATAAAAACTTTACAAATTCCAAATAAATTCGGTCTTCTNTCGTAAGTTTATCCGATTCTATTCCATGGTCGAAAGTCGAATAGTTGAAAGCAAGTACCATTATACATGCTACGACCGATGAACTCTCAGCATGCTCGCGCAACTGAAACATAACGCATCGTGCGGCGAGTATTGGAGTCGTTTTGGCCGGCTTAGCGAATTAGATGGCGAAACACTCTTAGCTACAGCTAGGCTTGTATTGTCTTTTTTTCCTGAAGAAGTCTACCTGTTTTCGGACCTAGTTCCGGCGCCGCAGCATCTCACTCTCGAGCGGCAACTGAACAAGAGCGTCCTGATCGGCTGGACACCGCCGGATAACACACATCAGCTAGAATCGTATCACGTCTACGTGGACGGGGTGTTGAAGGTTACCGTGAAAGCTACCGAAAGGACCAGAGCGCTGGTCGAGGGAGTCGACTCCACCAGGGTACGTAAACGATTTTCGTTCCGCGGTGCTGCCACCTTTTGTTTACCCGCCGAATCGAAATCCGATACGTCGGATCGTGTTCCCGCTTTGTTTATCGTATCACCGTAGTACAGCGGCCAACGAAAGTGTTCGTACACCTTCTAAAAGGTAATAACTTTTTTAAAGCACGACTGAATGATTTGAATTCTTTTTTAGATGATGGAGAGACTAGTATGCTAGATGATTGAAGTGTCTTCTTTTTTTCTTAATTTTGCTATTACTTGGGATGACGTAAAAGAAGTAAGAAACTCTCGCTTTCTAACCTTGTCATCCGAGCCTATAACGGACATTTAAAAATCGGTTGACACAGAATCGATCTGCAGGCATCGAAAGATTTGAAACACTGCAGATTTCATTCAGTTTTTGGTCAAAATCGTGATAAAACTGCGACTTTTGTTATCTTTATTTGTTGTAACTCGTAAGAACGTCAATTGATTTCGATAAAACTTTCAGAATGTATGCATAATATGAGATCTACGAGAGGCATTATTTATATTTCCATTATAGGCTCGGATAAAGAGGTTAGAAACGAGAGTTTTTTATTTCTCTTTGCCATTCCAAGTATGGAAATTTTAATAGCAAAATTTAACACTGAACCTATCGCGGTCAAAGTGACCGCTTTCTTATTTTGCAATTCTGCAAAGTTCCGAGACTCTTCCGTGGAAAATGCTTGAATAAGTTACATTATTGGAGCAAGTTTTGTAATAAAAACTTTACAAATTCCAAATAAATTCGGTCTTCTCACTTTTGTGAAGCAGTACATGCCAGTTAGTATTACTGCTTCGTAGGTTTAGTGTTAAACAAAGCATTTTGGTCATCGTCCAGGAGACTAGTCCCGCAGTCATCTAAGAAGAAATTCAAGTCACTTGGTCCAGTTTTAAGAAAGTTATTGCGTTTTAAAAGGTGTGCGAACGCTATTTTTTGGGCCACTGTATATACAATTTAGGACGCGAAGCGACCCGATTTGAACGAAACCACGCACGATACGATACAGCCGCACAGGATAAGCGTACGTTCGGTGACGCATTCGAGGAGAACGTCGCGCGACGCCGCGTGCACGATGGTGATCGGGAAGGACGTCGCGCTGGGCCCGACCGCGGTCAAGGCGTCGAACGTGACCGCCACCAGCGCCGTGATATCCTGGCTGCCGAGCAACAGCAATCACCAGCACGTGGTCTGCGTGAACAACGTCGAGGTCCGAACCGTGAAGCCCGGCGTTTACAGACACACGATCACCGGTTTGGCGCCCTCCACCATCTACAGAGTGACCGTCAAAGCGAAGAATCTCAGAGCGACCCACTTCGAGGACCAAAACACCCAGACGGCCAACAATTTAGCGTGCCACGTCCACTTTAAAACGTTACCAAAGGGACTGCCAGATCCTCCGGTCGATATCCAGGTTCGATCTCTAAATCGGTTCTATATTTGTAACGATCGTTGAACGCGTCCGACTCGGACTCGAGATTGCAAATTTCAAGAACTCGTTCTTCCTCTTCGCGACTGTCCCGCAGGTGGAGGCTGGACCGCAGGACGGCACTTTGCTAGTGACCTGGCAGCCTGTTGCCCTAAACGGTTCGGCCGTCACCGGTTACGCGGTGTACGCCGATGGCAAGAAGGTGACCGACGTGGACAGCCCCACCGGTGACCACGCTCTGGTCGACATTCACAAACTGATGGGTCTGAACCCGAAACATATCACGGTCCGAACGAAAAGCAGGGAAAGCCAGTCGGGGGACAGCTGCGCTACCGCGATCCCCTGCAGCGTGCTTCGGAGCGGCACCGCGGTAGGCCCCGCGGCACACCTGCAGCAGCACATGCAAGACCAAGGTCAGCCGCAGCCGTCCGGCGCGGGACAGCCGGACGATCCTAACAGGCTTCGCATGACCAGCGTCGCTCAGAGGTACTCGACGGCGCCGGTGCAGTCCCACGCCAGGAGGCACGGCGTTCCGAGGGTCGACGTCCATGGCCAAGTGATCATCGAGACCGACGAGAATCTGTCCGACAAAGAAATTTATCCTGGCCAGAGCATGTCCCATATGGGTAAGGCAATTTTATCTATCTCATTCTCTCATTCTCTCTCTCTCTCTCTTTCTGTTTCTATCTTTACTTCCTTTCTGTTCTATCTCTTTCAGTCTCCCTTTCTCTGTCTCTCTCTAGCTCTCTCTTTCTCTCTCTCTCTCTCTCTCTCTCTCTCTCTCTCTCTCTCTTCCTCTCGCTATCTGCTTGCTACCTTCATCTCGACTTTTCCACTCGATCCGAAGTACTTTTGCCGTTTGACGACGAAACTTTGCACGCGTTGCAAATGTCGCGTAGCAGTTCCAGAAATCACCAAAGACTCGGCGAGCGAGGCAAATTACAGCGAAGAAGATGATCCGTTGCGGCGAGTACGGGGCATGCCAATGCATCACGCCGCTCATTCTCGATACGGTCCGCAAATGGGGCAACAGGGACTGGCCGGAACCCACAGAACCGGCAGAATGGGTTCCGGTAGTCACGGCGGACCGGGTGGTACCAGACCACAAGATCCGTATTACGATCAATCGGGTAAGCGCCGCGTTGTTACCACGATCTTTACAGTTGAAGCACCGGCCGCGCTCCGCGATCCGCGCTCCGCGCCAGCAAACGAGCAAAGCAAAAAAACCATTCCCCGCCGCTTCACGCTCCTTCTCCTTCACGGAGAAAACGGAACCGTGTATCTATGTATGATCCGGTGTCGCGTGCTTGTTTGTCCGATACAGCGAACCAACGTGGCAGAAACGTCGTCTGCCGGGGTGGACGTGGAACGCAAGCCCAAGGTGGAGCCGGTCATCCGTCGAGCAGCGGTCAACAGATCAACAAGAGGATCCGGTGGTTCGTCGCGTTGTTCGATTACAATCCGAAGATCATGTCTCCCAATCCGGATGCTTGCGAGGACGAGCTATCATTCTCCAACGGCGACACGATCAAGGTTCATCTTTGTTCAAACTTGATTTTAGCCTGCTTATAATATTTAGTTTTAGGCTGGTATTACGAGCGTTCCGCGTTCCTCGAATTACGATCGGGAGCGGACGAATGCCCCCGCTTCGTGCCAGTCTCATTCGTATCCATGGATCGGTCGATTTGGATTTGGATATTGGTTGGTTCGGTGCAGGTCTACGGCGAGAAAGACGCGGACGGCTTTTATTGGGGCGAGTGTCGCGGCAGGCAAGGTTACATCCCTTGCAACATGGTGCAAGAGATCGACGACTCGAGCCAACCGGGTCACGGTCAAAGCGGGAGGAGAAGCAGATGGGGAGACATTTACGCCAGTATGCCCGTCAAGAAGATGATCGCTCTCTACGACTACGACCCGCACGAGTTGTCCCCGAACGTCGACGCGGTAAGGCGACTAGTCCCGCGTCCACGCGTCCCGCGGCCTCTGTGTCTGTTTGCACTCGCTCTCTTTTTTTCTCGTGTACCCGCAGCAAGTGGAGTTGACGTTTCGGGCCGGAAACGAGATTTACGTTTACGGCGACTTGGACGACGACGGTTTCTATATGGGCGAATTGAACGGCGTACGCGGTCTAGTTCCGAGCAACTTCCTCAGCGAAGCGGCCGACCAATCGGCGCAGGGTCAACTTCCGCCGGGGAGCAGGAGACCGCCCGGTCAAAGCCAGGGACTCGGGGCGAGAGGGCCGCCTCCCCCGCCGCGGCAACCCCCGTTACCCGGACACCGACGAAGCGAAGGTAAACCCGGCCCCGAAACACCTTGTCTCTCTTGCTCTCATAGCAAACACGATGTCTCGCCGCTCACCGCTCATCGCTCGCCGCTCACGACTCACGGCTCACGGCTCACGGCTCACGAGTACATAGTCACGAGTAACACTTTAAGCCGCGAAAACCGGCGCGGCGACCGCTCTGACCGATCGTTCGTCGGAACGAACCAACGAACGAACGAACGAACGAACGAGCTCTCCCGCTATGAAACCAAACGAAACCGAACGATAACCCGGACAAAATCGGATGGAAACGGAATGAAATGGAACGAGACGAAACCGGATTTAAGACGTACAGCGGACGAACCAACGTGTCGCAGAGATCGTACGCGAAAACACGCGTTCCAGAATCATTTCGGAATGACGAGACCGTCTGGCTCGAGGAATCGACGTCGACGTCGATGTCGACGCCCGACGTCGATATCGATGTCGACGCTGATGCGGACGTCGGATGTCGATAAGCTTGTCGAATCGGATGCGTATAAGTAGACGGCGAACAACACAAAGACACGAAATCTCGGACGTGCCGGACAACGACACAGAATGTGGCAGAAAGATGGCGCGAGCGTGTGTTACGATCGGGCGATCTGCGTCGGAGTCAGGAAGAGTCAGAGCCAGGGGCATTTTCTGACGACCTTACGGTAGATGCCGTATTAACGGCCGATTTCATGACTAAGTCTCATGGCAACGCGATGATCGTCTCGAGTAAGTCACCCGGTGCTAAGCTTTCTCCCTCCCCCCCTTAGGGTGTTTATTTATCTCTTTGTGCAACCGGTTGTTGACCATGATCAATTTCAAGGAACTCGAGAAAGAGTTTCGTTATCGCCACGATACAAAAGACTCTCGAGTAACAAGCTCGATAAACAAGATTATACGAAATACCTATCGATCTCACGTATCCGCGCGCGCACGGGATACGTTGTCAAACGTAATTTTGTACTTGCAGCTTTCCTTTCACTTTTTTTTTCTATTTTTTTTTCTATTTTGATTTCCTTTCCTTATTTCAATTCGAGATATCTCGTGTATTATTGTCGTATGCGAAACGATACTTCTCTCTACCTCTATCTGTCTATCTAAACTATATCTTATCTTTCTATTTGCCTATCACTCTCTCTCTATCTCTCTCAATCTTTCTCTCTCTCTCTCGCTCTCTCTCTCTCTCTTTCTTTCTCTATTTCTCGACATATTATAGTATACATACTATAAGAACGTATATAGTATATATACTACAATACATGTGTATAAAATAAAACACTAAGCCGCTTTCAGTGTCTCTACTAAGTATATATATATACATACCTGCATACATGCATACATACATACATACAATACGTACGTACGTACATATACATACGTGTATGTACATACATGTATATTATACCGTATCTTTTCTTTCCGAGCACACATTTTTCTCTGGCTCTATTAATTTTCTACGTGCATATATATCTCTCTGTCTACCACACGTATACAATACATATTGTCGCACGTACACGTACGTGTATACGCGTACACGTGTGCACGTGTACACGTGCATGGGTATACACACGTACGCGTCACGTTTACGCTATATATGTATACACGTAGAAAAAAAAACCATATACATATATAGCGTGTACTCTATATAACGATATAATCTGTTTCTGTGTGCCTGAACTGGTCGATGGTCGTCGTGTCACATGATTGTCGTTCGTGTCGTGTTGTCAAGCTGGCCATTGAAATGTTAGAAGATTTAACGAAACGATTCGTTGGAGTCGTCGTCCGTCTCGACGACGCTCCAGCTAATTATTTCGCATGTTTTTGTTGTGTCTCGATGCGTAAACTCTCGGGAACCAACGACGGAATCTGTATACACGACGGGTCGTGATAGGTCGTGACGGGTCGTGTGACGGGTTGTGACGGGTCGTGACGGATCGTTAACGTGTCCATAGGCTGTTTGTCGAGTAAACTCGAACGCCCGCGATGATATCGTTCCCCCCGTCTACTCGATACAGAAACGAAAAACGCTCTTTCACCGTTCTCGCGTCCGCTAAATCTAAACGGAAACGGAAAAGGGAAAACGATATGGAAAGAACAAAAAAAAAAAGAAAAAAATGTAAACGTAAAAGCTTGCCGAATTCGCTGAAGGGACGTCGGCGTCGGCGTCGCGCGCGTTGGCGTCGCGCGTCGGCGTCAAGCATACACGAATCGACCGCGTTACATGAATGTTTATTCGAAAGAAAAAGTAAATGCGCCATGAATGACAACACGGTTCTGTTCTCTTCTCTGTTGCTAGATGCCTGCATTGTGCCTGTGTCTGTCCCTGTCTGTCACTTAGACTCTAGACAACAACAACAACAACCATCACTAATGAACAACCAACAACATCAACTCCAACATCAACAAAACAATCCACCGCATCTAGCGTACCAACAAGCGAATCACCACAGCTACACGACTGTAACCACGTCCAACCAACATGGGCCCACTCCCATGGGTGCCCATCAGCAAGGTCCCGTACCACTTCACCTTCAACAGCAGGTGAGTTCACTGCTCTATCCGAAAACTTTTCACCGGTGCTTTTCTACGTGCTACGAATCCTTGCGCTGCAATCTCTTCTTTACGATCTAATATCTCGACTATGTTACTTTTCTTCTCTACTAACTTTCTCTCTCTCTCTCTCTCTCTCTCTCTCTCTCTTTCTCTCTCTCTCTCTCTCTCTCTCTCTCTCTCTCTCTCTATCACTCACTCACTCTATATATATTAGGGGGACCGAAAAGTTATGTCGTTTGTTTACATTAACCCCTTAATGCACAGTTTTTTTGAAAAAGGCCAGCCAAAAAGAATCATTTTTTTTAAATATAAGAAAACACAATTTAGAACTTTGTCCTGGCAACAAAATTACAAAAATACAAAAATAATCAACATTTTCATTGCAATTTTGGATTTTGATAACATTGCAGAAAATAGTTGAATATTGTAATATTACACGCACATCGACTTTTTTTATCTTTCTTTTCGAATTCTCATTTCAGAATAAACATTATTATCAGTAAAAATATTTATTTATACTTTCAAAACAAATAATAACAATGCTAGTATTTATAATATTTATTATTATATTTATATATATATTATTATTTATATTTTATTTTACATTATATTTTAGTAAAATATATATTGAAAAATGAGTGAATCAGAATCTGAATATGAATACGCTGTCGGAAAGCGGCTCACAAGGAAGAGATAAGTCGTAAGTGATAAGTATAAAAAAAGGATATATTTTATACTTGAATAAGTAAGTGTTATAGCTTACAATCCCATGTAAATGATAAATATCAATAAAACGATTGTTTTTTTTTTGCTTTCACATTGCTATTTTCAATTCTCGATTGCATTCGAGTGTGAAAAATTATAGCAACATAAAGTACAACGCCGCTCGAATTACCTCGAGTGTGCACAGTCTGGCCAGTTTAGCGTGCTCGAGTTAACTCGAGCGTGCACGTTAAGGGGTTAAATTCAAACAGATAAATGTGCGCAGAAACGACATTACTTTCCGGTCCCCCTAATATTTTTATCTCTTGCGCTCTCTCTCTCTCTCTCTCTCTCTCTCTCTCTCTCTCTCTCACTCACTTTTTTCCTCCTCCATCTCCTTGTTCCTCCCCACGCAACCAATTCTAAATGTATCTTCGAATTACAGCTATTTTTGTTCCTTTCATCATGACAATCGTCGTGTGTTCGACGAGTTTCATTTCTCTTTTCTTACGTTCGTCGCGCGTAATCGGAATACACAAGTAAAACGAAACTTCTCAGAATCGATCGTAAATTCTACGCGTGTGGATGGTGGTCCCCGTACACGCACGGTTGGAATTTCTATGTATTGGGTTGTCCGGAAAGTTCGTGCCGATTTTCGGTAGGTATCGTGAGAGACCTAACCGAATATATCACAATTATTGAAAACAAATGACATGTGTACATATTCTAAAAGAGATAACTTCAGCCATATTTGGAAAAAAGCTTGGTTACGATTCGTTAATTTTTATCAGTTTTTGTACGCCTTAGAATATGGCGGCAAATAAAGTGCATTATAGGCATTTAATGCTTTTCTTTTTCCGAAAGGGTAAAAATGCCACACAAGCGGCAAATAAGATATGCGCCGTTTATGGCGAGGATGCTGTAGCCGAAAGAACTGTGCGGAAGTGGTTTGCTCGGTTTAAAGCTGGAAATTTCGACCTTGAAGATCAAGAACGCCCAGGTATAGGCCGTCCACCACAGACGAAGATATGATTAGAACAGAAATCGAGAATAACCCACGCTCAACATTACGTCAATTAGCAGGAATGCTAAATAAATCAAAATCGACCATCCACGATCATGCTGTGAAGCTCGGCTCCAATATTTAAATGAGCTGCGTTTTAATTTTCCTAAAAAATCGGCACGAACTTTCCGGACAACCCAATAGAAAAGAGACCGTCAGCGTCTCTGCGGAAGTCGGCTGTCTTTAAACTAAATTATCGCCGATAATCGAATTATCGCTATTACTCGATACCCGTTCTTTGTAACAGGCTTACGCGTTTCGGCTAAAGAAAAACTCAGCGATTCCGTGGCACACAGACTTGTTTACGTAATTCCAAATCAGCCTCGTTACCGGTGCTTTCGATGACGCGACACGCGCGTGCACACGCACGAGATAAAGTCAAAGCTTTTCCCGTAGGTACATAATTTGCAGTTCGACGTTTTCGATGTCTCGTATGTCGTAGAATCGTAGATTTTTCGATACAAAAAAAAAATAAATAAAAAATCATAAGAAATCGTAAAATCACACGACGGACGATTGTTCCGCGGCAAGTGAGAGAAATCGTCGGCCGAATGAATTCTTCACCGCTTTCTTTGATTTTTTACACCATGCGAAATGTACACGTTTTTCTCGTTTTCGTGCCTCGAAGCTGGCGACTTCGACGGTCACGGTATCGTGCGCATCATTGAACGATAGAGACACACGTAGGTTCCATGTCGATCGAATGAACGGACGTTGATCGAAACGTCTCGATAAATAACGTTCGACGTGGTTAACAACGATTCCATACATGTATCATGTATCTAATGCATGGCATTCCACGTCCGAAGATCGTAGACATAGTAGTAGACAAGCAGGAGTATGTACCTAGTAAAACAAGCGAAAAATCACGAGGCCGAACATCACGGTAGTCTGTATCTGTACCGGACGATTGTTACGGCTATAGTTTATACAACTATAGCGACACGGCCATAGTTTAAACAGCGATCGTGGCGACGATCTGTAACCGTTCCATTGTAGACGCGGACGCAGGCAACGGCTGTGCCCGTCGAAGTTTTAGCTTTCTTCATTTTTATCGTTCGAAATTAAAGAAATTGGATAAATAGATGTCAGAAGGAGGGATAGAGACGAAGAAATGTACAGGAGAGGATGTAAGTTTGGACCGAAATAACGGAAATTTCACCACGAAAGACACGGAGAAGAAGGAGTCGATATCGAGGGGAAGCAGCCGTGATCAGACACTGTCGGACTTGTCAGGCTATCGGACTGTCGGACTATCGACGCGTAGATTCGATCGGTTAACGGTTAAGGAGAATGATCTTTGTTTTGTAGGGGAAGGGGAGGGCAGGCGTGATCAATCGTGGTAGCAACGCACCCGGAGGAATGCAGGGCCCTGGGCAGCACATGCAACAGCAACCGGACTATCAACAGCAGCAGAGTCAGCCGTACCAGCAACAGCAACAACAGCCGAACCAACAGAATCAAAGCTATCAGCAGCAGCAACTCCAACAGCAACTACAGCAGCAGCTCCAGCATCAGCATCAGCATCCGCAAGGTCAGGGCTACCAGCAGCAGGCCGCGGGATTCGGCCAGCAAGGACAGCAGTTCCAGCAACCGCAGTCGCAGCAGCAGCAGCAGCAACAACAACAGCAACAACAACCGCAGCAGCAGCAACAGCAACCGATTCAGAATTCGACGATGCAGAGCGGTCAGAGCACGAGCAAACCGATGAGAGGAATACCGACCGTGTTGCCGACCGTTCAGCCCAAGGCGCAGCAGAACCCCGTACAAGGCCAACAGCCGCAACAACAGCAGCAACAGCAACAACAGCAAAGCACAGGCCCGAATCTGATGCAGAAATTCACGGAGATCACCGGAGCGAGCACTGGCGGCGATATCCTCACGAAAGGGAAGGAACTGATTTTCATGAAGTTTGGCCTCAGCAAATGAGCCATTACCCTGCTCGTGTTCGCTGACTCCGCTTCCTTTCCCATCCTCCTCCGTTTATCCTACCGCTTTCGATAGGACCCGGACGAGTCACTATTACCCGATTGCGGAGAATCGATGATTACGCCCAAAAGCGAGCGAGACGCGCAGGCAGGAACCTACGAAATGCGTCTCGTCCGATCAGGTCTTCGCGAATCACTCTCAAACGGCACGATACGATACGGCACGCCACGGTACGGTACGGTACGATACGATACGATACGATACGATACGATACGATACGATACGACACGATACGATACGATACAGTACAATACGATACGATACGAAACGATGCGATACAATAACGGAAGATAAGCTGGAACGCGATGCGACGTGATCCGATGCGATACAAACACAAATACAAATACGGAATACAAATACAAAACACAAACACGTGCGCTGCCACTGCTGCTGCTGCTGCTGCTGCTGCTAATGGCATCGATGCTCTTGACCCTATTAACGCTACCGATCGCTTCGGTTCATCGTTTCTTCGATCGAAAAAAGTTTTATTCGTAGAAGCGAACGGAGTCGAGTTTACACCTTTCCCGAGTCGTTTCTATCTCGAATCACGAGGCCAATCTCCTTCCAGGCTGCGAGTCAACAATCTTCTGGTCTAGTATTTTTTAACGATGTGTCGTTTGCGAACATTATTCAACGAATCAAATCCGTGATCAGCGATCCGCGAGCCAGCACGGAAGGTCAAAGATCAGATCGTCGCGGCTACTATCGCAAACAGAAGATCCGGCTCGAAATCAGATCGGAATCTAGTATTGCAAACAGAAGATCCGGGGTCGAAACCAGATCGTTGCTCGCAACGCGGCCGGTACGGTACTCCGTTTTTCTTCTTCGCTAATCATTCTCTTTTCGCGCGTTCTCCATCACGTTCACGTACAATGGTGACAAAACACAGAGTTCAAGATACCGTTGAAAATGATTTTTGGTTCGCTGGCAGATGTGACGTATCTTATTCCGAGAGTGTATGTTATCATAGAATATTATCAATTGTAAATATCTGTTCAGGTATACGAGTAATCGACTAGCGGCCCGTCAATTTGTCGATTGACGTGAAACCGAACGATTCTTGATAGTTGACCGCGTTAATCGCGATTCAGCAACAGACACCGCGATCCGAGGAGCTCGGCTTGACGAACGCGCGCGCGACAACGTCGCGATCGAGCAGAATCCGGGCGGAATTCGTTTAATCGCGAACATTGATTTTCCGATATTCTCTATTCTAGAACAAATTGTAGACGCTAACCGTAACGAACGTAAAAATCGTAAACATCGTAAGAATCGTAAAGATCGTAAAAATCGTAAATATCGTGAAGATCGTAAAAATCGTAAAGGCCGTAAAAATCGTGAAAAGATATTGTCTCTCATATTCCTACTCGTGAATCTACTCGAGACGACGCCAGGGACGATCGAGATCCGGAACTCGGGATCGAAATTCGTGATCCGACGTTTCGGATGTTTCTTCGTGGAAGCAAGAGACTCGAACAATTTCGCGACTCGGTTGAGATCGCGCGAGGCCGGACAACCGCGACATAACAGTAAAAACTTCGCGAAGAACTTTGTTAATACAAGATACCGTTCGAACATGTAGCATGTACAGCCCAGCCAGGCGCAATCTATCTAATCCGGAATGTTTATAATTTACCAATTCCCGAATCAAATTGAACCGTATTGTCGTGTTAACGTACATATATACACACACGCGTACAGGCATACACCCGATACATAGCTGTATACAACCATACATACTTACATACGCATACGCACGTGCGCGAACGAATTAGCTAATTGATGCACGTTGGACACGATGGCGACTCGCGATTTCTATGCGCGATCCATCATCATCCTCTAACGGCACGGAAGACGCCGCGTATCGTTTGTGAAACAACAGAGGGGCGGGGCGGGGCGGAGCGGGGCGGGGCGATAATAGGAACGATGCAGATGCAGATGCGGATGCAGATACAAATACAGATACAGATACAAATACAAGTGCAAAAAAGCAAATATAGATATATACGAGTACGTACATACAATCATATACATATGTATATGTATACATGTATACGGATACAGATGCATACCTGTACACGTGTGTTTGCGTGTACAAATAGATACGTATGTATATGTACAATGTACATGTATATGTATTGTGTATTACGTGTATGTATACGTGTATACGTATTTATACGTGTATACATGTGTACATATTATATCAAACTGTCGCAAAACATTGTTACATCGCCACTTGTATTTTGTACACAAATGATCGTTGACCCTCGATGGTTCTATTAGTTTCGTCGCTACCGGCAGATGCATGTCCTGGTCGTGTGTTCCGTTATAATATGTAGATACACGTCGACGGCGAAAGGAGCTAATCGAATTTCAAACGAATCTCGCCAGCAATCGTTTCGAGTAGAACGATAGAACTCGTCGGAATCGTTACGACCAAATAACCACGTATACTCGTTCGCCTGTTGTTTGCCGCTTGATTGCTACCGGTGACGGCAGCGTGCAAGCCGGCAACTTGCGGCGATATACGAGGATAAAAGTATACGAGAACCTTGGACTCCTTTCATCGGTAACAAGACAATTCGAAATTGGTATTCGCCTCGTTCCTGCAATTCCATTTGTTCCGCTCTAGCATATTCGTCCGTCACCGGTTGTAGTTTGTAACACCTGTTCGACGATTCGGGTGACTTTTTTTACGAGTTCGCTACCTCGGAAACTTCTCTAACGGTGAATCGTAAAAAAGCGATCGAGACATCCTGTCGGAGATGAAGCGAGAACGTTTTCGTGGCTCTACTCAATTCGGTGGATCTGATCCAACGAAACTGCTCGACAACACCCAAGTCGAACCGTTTTCGTTCGCTCGAGTTTTTGCTACGCGGTACGTGAAACCAGCAATTTGTTGGCACGCGGGACGACCAGTTCACGATTCATGATTCACGAAACTAGGATGTTTAGTTGCCCATCTTCGTCGTACGTTCGTTAGTCGGATTTGAATAGTGTCGTCGCCAAGCTAGCTCTCTCCGAGCATTCGTGTACCCGCGAAAAACAGACCAAACCTAGTCGCGTCGCGTAACTTCAACTCCACGAAATGTTTCGAATAGCTTGTTTCGCCTCGACGACATAGCTCCTATCTGTTTCCAAGTGAACGATCGACAATTATCACGAGCAACATCGAGGAAAATCAAATAAATTATTCTCCGTTGGCCAAATCATATATATCGTCATATAAATCATATATTTTTATATATATATATATATATATATATATATATATATATATATATATATATATATATAAATATATGTATATGGTTCCGTATTTGCATATCGCGCCAGGATGTAGAGAGAGCGTTGTTGCGAGTTTCACACTGTCGAAAGCAGTGCTATCGCGGCTCTTGTTCAGAATATTCGGACGCAGATTATTCCTAGACGCATTTCCATTTCTCTCATTGCCCCCATTTATCGGTACTCTGGTTTCGCTGATTTCTTCGAATTTTTATGATTTTCTCGATTTTGCCCGTTGCATAAACGAGGAAATCGAACCCGAGAAACCGTTCGGCATCTATCGAACGATAAATCACGAGGACTGAATCCAAGCGACGTTGGAGATGACGTTCCGACGACGACGACGTCGTCTGCTCGTGATATCGTTAACATATCCCGCGCTGACCCCGTTGTACGATATACATACTCGCGATCCTTTAACAATGTCTTCGAGATTGTCACGATTAAAATGCAAATTCGTCGTTCGATAGAAGATTCGCAGTGTTTTTCTAGTTGGGAACCCTTCCCTCCGTATTGGAGAACGTTTTCTATCGAACGCAAACAATTTTCTCAAAGCTCTGGAAATTAGTGCATTTAGCAGCTAAACTTGCGTTTGGTTTTCGGTGCCGCTTACGATTTACTATTTACCATTTTACCATTTGCGATTTACCATTTACCATATTTACAAGATACGATTTACAATTTACGATTTACAATTTACAATTTACGATCGATTTACGATTTACAATTTACGATTTACGAGTTACAATTTACGATGTACGACTTACGATCCCCCCCCCCCCCCCCCCT